CACGATCGCTCGGTGTTTGTTGACATTCTCAGGTGTTTGTTGACATTCTCATCGTCCTTTCGTTGGCTTTAGGTTCAACATGCCCCATGATGACAACAATAAATGTAAAGAGGAAGGAGTGAAGAGCCCCCAGCATGTCATGGCTCCGACATTGAACTTCTACACCAACCCCTGGATGTGGTCCAAGTGTAGTCGAAAATATATCACTGAGTTTCTAGAGTAAGACTTGAACTTTCTTTCTCCTATCTGGCCTCCATGGAGCGAGCTAATTGTGGGAAAGAAAATAGAGAGTCAAGCATTCCTCTTGAGTTGTTATTTTTGTTGACATTCCTTGGAGGAGGAGGAGGAGGAGGAGGAGGGGAAAAAAAAATAACTCGCGGACATCTGTGTAGTTCCTATCCTTGCCAGGATTCTAGATTGCAGACTGAGCTAAAGCAGAGGTTGGGATCTCAAAGGGAATGTGCAAAGGGGTTGCTTCGTTTTGGATAAAGCTTTGAACTTTGTTCGGGTCTTGGGGGAGAGAGGCCGTGAATGCGATTCCATGATGAAGGCCACAAGTGTTTCTGTGTTTTCCTAACTTAGTAATTTTGGGTTGGAAAAGGGGTGGGGTGGCGAGATGATTCCAAAACAGATCGTGGGAGTGGGTGGACATTGCCGAATTGAGGACGTCCCCTCTCTCTCTCCCCTCCCCCCACTGCCCCGTTCTCTTTCTTTCCTTTTTTCCTTTATTTTCTTGTTCTGTTTTTTTGAGCTTCCTGCTGGGCTGCTCAGAGACCCGATGACATTAGGCAACACCCCTGTGTCACAAATGTGTTGCACTTCTCTCCCAGAAGTATGGAAGGTTAAGTGATTATCCCAAAGCCCCGGGGTGTATATTTCTGCAACCACAGGGAAGAGGAGGCTTTTGTGAATCAGAACTCACCGGGGTGTGAAATTTCCAGGGGAGATGTTTGCAGGAAACTGGAAGAACCCGAGGGTTGATGTTTTCCTTTTTAACCAGATGGTGCAAGGTGTTTTCTTTCTCTGAGTCACTGATTCACTGGTTCGTCCCTTCAGCAGACAGTTACTAAACACCTGTTGCCATGGTTGTGCCCAAATGCTGGGACCAAAAAGACACTATCTTTGTCTCTAAGAAGCTTACAGTCTCTTGGGATAGCAAAAAAATAAACAGATAATTTCCCTGAAAATGTGATGCATACTGTAGCAGATATATACCGTGTTTCCCCAAAAATAAGACAGGGTCTTACATTTATATTCCCTCAAGAAGACACCTAGGGCTTATTTTGGGGATGTATTATTTTTAAGTACGGTACAACCATCTACATGATTCAAATAGAGTGTAAGTCATCTTCTTCTGGAACATCATCCTCACTCTCCAAACTCCGAATCCCATCCCTGAATGTCTTGCGACTCTGATTTCCCTTTAGAACCCACGTGGCCCAGCTTCTCCATGTGAAGCACTAGAGCTCTCATGGGCAGATAAGAAGGGCTGCTCGTGTTCTTTCCCGCTCCATGCCACATGCATGGGTTGTGCAGATGTGCTGCGTAGCCACGCCCAGCACTAGGCTTATTTTCCATAGCCCACCCCGCACAGGCTTATTTTCCATAGCCCACGCCCCATGACGGCTTATTTCATAGCACGCCATCCCTGGGCTTATTTTCCATAGGGCCAGCGCCCCAGGCCACTAGGGGCTTATTCATAACACACAACACAACAACCACCCAATAAAAAAAAAAGGGCATTATTATTCATAGACGCCCCACCAACCTAGGCTTATTTTCATAGCCCACCCGCCTATCACGCAGAGCTTTATTTTCATAGGCACGCACAGCACAGGCTCATTTCATAGCAGCGCCCATCACCTAGAGCTTATTTTATAGCCACACCCAGCGCCAAGGCTGATTTTGCATAGCCACGCCCAGCCCAGGCTTATTTTTCATAGCCCCAGCCCCGGGGCGCACGCGCAGGGCTGATTTTCCCATACCCAGCGCAGCACCAGGGCTTATTTTGCATAGCCACGCCGCCAGCAGCTAGGCCTTATTTCATAGCCACGCCAGCAGCTAAGGGCGTATTTCATAGCCAGGGCCAGCACTAGGGCCTTATTTTCATAGCCACCGCCCCCACCAACTAGGGCTTATTTTTCATAGCCACGGCCCCCACTAGGGCTTATTTTCATAGGCCAGCTATCACAAGAAGCCTTATTTTCATAGCCACGCCCAGCACTAAGGGCCTCATTTCATAGCGCACGCCCATCACGTAGAGCCCTTTTCATAGCCACCACCCAGCACCCAGGGCTGATTTTCATAGCCACCGCCACCACCAGGGCTTATTTTTGCGTAGGCCACGCCGCCCATCACAGGCCTTATCTTCATAGCGCACCCCCAAGCACAGGGCTGATTTTCATAGCCACGCCCACCACCTAGGCTTATTTTCAGGTGGGGCGTTCTATTGCGGCACATGCTTAGACATCCGCCCAGGGCTTATTTCCATGGGTAGAGGCCTTATTATGCCGGGGAACAGCCCGGCATTTCAGCACTGACGCCATGTTGCACGCATAGCTTGCGTCGCACAAAAGCATACGAGCAGAAATGCGAAGTTTTGAATATAAACCCTGCAGGCGTTTGGACTTGACTTCGGACAGAAACGAATGAGGCGCAAATGGAAACAAAAAAATGTGCCTTCTCCTCCGTTGAAATAGCCGGCGGTGCCCCTTCACCGTTCCCTACCCAGCCCTTGATAGCCGCAGTCCTCCGGCCGGTCTGTAATCGCCTCTGCTTTTTCCTGTAACCTGGTTACGCCCAAGTGCTTGGGTGAACAAACGCTGAGTCCAGACCCACCTCTGTGTCCTACCACCGGCCGCGGGTTCTTTGCAAGGCGAAGACCCGGTGCACCTCAAGCGGCCCGGCCTGTGTGTTTTTCTGCTCTCCCTCGCAGCCAGTCGGTATCGGCGAGGCTTGCTCAACGAGCCCGGAGTCCAGACCCTACTGCTGCCTCCCCAACTGCCGGGCCTCGCCTCCTTTACTAACGTGAACAACGTGGACTGATCTCGGCGCAGGTTTTCTCCGGTGTGCCCGTACATGGTAAAGCCGCACAGGGGCTTGCTTCTGCCCACCCCCCTTCCGGTCCTGCGCTTTTCTGTTCATGCTTCTCCCTGGAGTGCTTCCTCTCCGGGAGGTCCCCGGGCAAAGCTGAGACGCAATGGGCGATCGGCGGACAGCCACCGTCATTCTTCCCTGAGCAAGGGAGAAAGTGAGGATCTGTAGGGATGAGGCCAGAGAGCTGGTGATGAAAGAGCTCAGCTTTTTCCTCTCCTTGTCCTCTTTCACCCTGTTGACCTTGTCCAGGTGACTTAAATTGG